ACCATCTCCCCAGCCCCTCACCCCACTGCCAGCCCCCTCCCCAGCTCTCTGCTGCCACCCACCCCAGCCCAGCCCCAACCTCAGCTCCCACTGCAGAAGGGCATGGGGTGCCTGGGTGCCCTCAGCCAGGGGGTCTGCTACAAGCAGGTGGGAGTTAAACCCTCAGAAACTGGGAAGGAAAAGTGTGACACTGGGAACAGAAAATGATGGGAAATGGTCCTGGGCAGCCCTGAGATGGAGAAGGGGGGTAAAGAGGTGATGGACCGTGCCGGCAACTGGGGAACCAGAGTGGCACGGTGGGAGCTGATGGAGGCTGAGCCCTGTGCCCAGGTCACAGCCTGTGCACCTTCACACCAGGACGAGCCAGGGCACAGGCCCATGGTGCTCCTGGCAGCATGTGAGGAAGCTTCTGGCTCCAGGGGCCCCAGCCAGCCATGCTGCCAGGGTCCCCATACCCTGGGACAGGGGCCCCAACACCCATCACTATGGGGCAAGGATGAGGTCAAGCACCATGGCTGTCCTGAGGGCAGCCCCAGGATACAGAGGGTGGGATGTGGGGCCAGACAGCCACCCCAGAGGGCTGAAAGGGGGGAGCACACTCCTTCCAGTGTGGTGGGGCCATCCCTGCCCATCTCCCATGGGCGCAGGGCAGTGGCTGCAGCCCCCAGCTGAGAGCTGCCAAGAGCATCCTGGAAATGGGAAATGGCTCTGTGTCACCATGGAAACGGGGCCACTGGCTCGCCATGCCGAGGGGACAAGCTGAGCCGAGGGGACATGTGTGCTGAGCCTCAAGGAGCAGAGCACTGGGTGAGCACAGCACTGGGCATGATGTGCTGGGCACTGGGCACTGGCCACAGGCTCCTGGGCACCCTGAGGCTGGGCCATGAGCCTAGCACTCACCTGGGTCAGGCTCTCACTTTGCCCAGAGGGTGATCACCTGGCATTGTCACAGTTATTGTCAGCAAAACACCCAGCAAGGTCTGTGGAGAGGACAGGCCCGAGCTGTCAGCACACAGCCCACACCTGCCAGAGCAGTGAGAGCACCAGCACCAGGCACTGCGGGCTGGCACTGGCACAGCACGTGTGCCAGGGCCTTGGCATCCCACCTGCATCCTGGGCGAGCAGCTGCAGCTCCGTGGGCGAGTTCCCACTGTGGGGATGGAGCTGAG